AAAAAGATAAAACAATTATAAACATTTACGTAACTTAATGGACAGAAAAGCCAGAAGGAAGCAATAAGGAAACAGAGGAACAGAGGACTGGACAGGCCATATGTTAAGCCACAAATTAAATCTGAGATTTTTAAAGATATTATGGGACAAAGCAAAAGCAGAGCTAGAAGAGAAATGTATAGCTATAAACACAAAAAAAACAAGAAAGATCTCCAATCAGCTACCCAACTTTACAACTTAAGGAACTAGAAAAAGAACAAACTAAACTCAAAGCTAGCAAAAAGAAGGAAATAATAAAGATTAGAGCAGACTTCAAGGAAATAGAGAATAGAAAACCATAGAGAAAAATCAATGAAACCAAATGATCAACAAAACTGACAAATTAACTTTAGCTAGTTGGATTAATGAAAACGGAAGAAGAGTCAATCAGATATAAAAGTGGGGACATTACTACCAATTCTACAGAAATAAAAAGGATTATAAAAGAGTACTATGAATAACTGTATGCCAACAAATTGGATAACCTAGAGAAAATGGACAAATTCCTACAAACACAAAACCCACCAAGATTAAATCTCAAAGAAACAAAAAATATGAATAGACTTATAACTAGGAAGGACACTGAGTATCAAAAATCTTCTATCACAGAAAAGCCCTGGACCTGATGGCTTGACTGGTAACTTCTATCAAACATTTAAAGAACTAATACCAATCATTCTCAAACTATTCAAAAAAAGTGAAGAGAACACTTCCTAAATCATTCTACGAGGCCAACATTACCTTGATACCAAAGCCAGACAAGGACATTACAAGAAAAGCACTATAGAACAATATCCCTGATGAACACTGATGCCAAAATCCTCAACAAAATATTAGCAAATTGAATTCAGCAGTATATTAAAAGGTTTGTACAGACAGTCCCAACTTTATGATGCTGTGAAAGCCATATGCCTTCGAGTACCCATACAGCCATTGTTTTTCACTTTCACTACAGTATTCAATAAATTATTTAAGT